CTTTCTTTCTTCCAGAACAAGACAGAGTTGCAGATAGCTCCGGCTGGCATATCAAACTGGCAAGGAACTGAGGATGAGCTGATTCTCCTCCTCCTCAGATCCCTGCAGTTTCCCATGGCCTTCCTGTAGATACTCTTGAAGGCCCTTCTGGGGTCAGGCTGGACCAAGGCAGTCGTGCAAGTCACGATTTAGGAAAAAGCTGCCCAGTGTGCAGCGGTTGAGACCCAGAGTAGGACTCTTCCTGGTGGAGTCCTGGAATCAGGAAGGTTGCCTTGTCCGTCCGTCTGTCTCCCCCCACCCCAGCCCCCAGTAGCCCTCAGAATGAAGCAGGTGCTCAGGTTGTGGGAACACTTGCCTCAAAGTCACTGGGTGGGAAGAGGGGGAAAAAGGGCTTTTCCCTCACCAGGATACCCTGGCCTCAAGAGAAAAAGAAACTCTGATTACAAAAGCATCTGGCAAGTGCCAAAGGCCTTATTAAACTCTGCTTTTCTTTTTCTTTTTTGGTGTTTCGAGACAGGGTTTCTCTGTATTGTTTTGGAGGCTGTCCTGGAACTCACTCTGTAGGCCAGTTAGCCTCGAACTCACAGAGATCCACCTACCTCTGCCTCCCAAGTGCTGGTATTAAAGGCATGCACCACCAACGTCCAGCTTTAAACTCTGTTTTTCTAAGGCTGGGTTACCCTCAGGAGATATACACACCCTAGGGCAACTGACACACCCCACTCCCCAATGCAATAAAGAACCATATTACTAAGGCTACACTTTCTGGGCCCACACAGGACAGGTCATTTCCTTCCAATATTCTACAATGGCAGGCTTCATCAGTGCCCTAAATGCCAGAACATATTAACTAGTCTAGTCAACCTAATGTTCCCAGCTCACAAGAGGATAGATTCTGGGCTTTTCTGGGTCAGAAGGGAACAGGCAGCAATGAGAAAGGTGATTTAGCTGAAGCATGTTGTTCTGAGACACTACAGGATGTATTAAGGCTTTGTTAGGGGAATCGGCCTCTGATGGACTGAACTCCAAGTAGCCTTGCAGAAGCCCCCCCCCTTTGTTTTTTTAAAAGACAGGGTCTCTCTGTAGCTTTGGAGCCTGTCCATCACTGCCCAGCACAGAAGCCCTTTTTTTTTTAATATTTATTTATTATGTATACAGTGTTCTGCCTACATGTATCCCTGCAGGCCAGAGAGGGCACCAGATCTCATTACAGATGACTGTGAGCCATCATGTGGTTGCTGGGAATTGAACTCAGGACCTCTGAAAGATCAGAAAGTGCTCTTATCCTCTCCAGCCCCACAGAAGCCCTTTTAACGATGGTTAAACAAAAGGGAACTTTAGCACTGGGTGGTGGTGGTGGCAGTGGTGGCACACACTTTTAATCCCAGCACTCCAAAGGCAGGGCAGGTGAATCTCAGTGAGTTCAAGCACAGCCAGGGCTACATAGAGGACCCCCCCCCCCCCCGCAAAAAAAATCCTTTTAGCAAGTCATTTCCAGCATAACAAAACCTCTTATTTGATCTAGTTGTCTGAGGGAACCCTACTTAAGCAAATCTCAGTATTTGTAAGAATTCCAGGTTTGCCAGGAATGTTTGTCTTTTTTTTTTTGTTTTTCGAGACAGGGTTTCTATGTATTGTTTTTGAGGCTGTCCTGGAACTTACTCTGTAGACCAGGCTTGTCTTGAACTCAAGAGATCTGCCTGCCTCTGCCTCCCAAGTGCTGGGATTAAAGATGTGTGCCACCAATGCCCAGCTGTCTTTTATTTTTAAAGACTTACTATGTATATAGCATTCTGTTTATATGTCTGTCTTCAGGCCAGAGGAAGGCACCAGATCTTACTAAAGATAGTTGCTGGGAGGGAATCAAACTCAGGACCTTTGTAAGATGGGCCTGTGCTCTTAACTACTGAGCCATCTCTCTGGCTCCCTGCCAGGAATGTCTTATCACTGTCATGCTAAGGCTCTGAAATTCCCAAGGAAGAACTCCCATAAATCTCAGATAACAATCACTAATTATTTACCAGAGATTGCTTGAAGGCCTAAATAGCCATCACTCCAGAGTAAATGACAGGTGCATTGGCTCTAATTTTTCTACTACAAAAGCAGTGATGCTATGGGAATGTCACCACCAGTGTTCCCCCATCTTCATATGGAGTGGGAGCAGAGATCTCTAGTGGCATGCCTGGTTGTCCTACACTAAGGCAGAGGCGGTAAGAATATGGTCCCCCAGAATTTATTTCACTGTGTGTGAGCACGTGTATGCAGGGGCTTAAGACTGACACTGAGCCTTCTTCCATTGCTCTCCCCCATACTCAGCAAAGCAGTTTTTCTCACTTGAGCCCGAGTTCACCAACTCAGCTAGTCTAGCTAGCTACTTGCTTTGAGGATTCCATCTCCACCTCCCCAGTACTGGGATTATAGGTAGACTGCAATGCCTACTCTGAATTTATTTAGGTGCTGGGGACCTGAACTCTGGACCTCAAGCTCATGAGGCAATCACTTTGCCTACGGAACCATCTCCCCAGCCACCTAAAATCAATTCATGAAGGAGTGTAGCTGCTGTCTTAGTCTCGAATCTGGACATGGGTGGTCCACATCTATGCTCTCAGTACTCAGGTGAATGCCAGACTAGGCTACATGGAAAGATCCTGTCTCAAAAAGTTTATGGTTTAAACAAATCTCTACTGCCAATACTCAAATTTCTTAGCTTGGGTGTGGAAGAACGTGCCTGTAATCTCAGAGTCAAGAACCCTAGAGCCCGGAAGCCCAAGTTCAAGGTCTGGTCTACACAGTAAATTCCAAGTTTTCTCCACTGTAGTTGTCTTCCAATTACTCTAAGGTCCAACACTTTTACTTATTTTTATTATGTACATTGGTGTTTTGTCTGCAGTGTATCTGCGTGAGGGTGTCAAATTTTGAAGTCACAGACAGTTGTGTGAGATGCCATGTGGGGTGCTGGGAGTTAAACCTGGCTCTTCTGGAAGGACAGACAGTGCTCTTAACCACTGAACCATCTCTCCAGACCTCCAAGAAACCCGTTTCCAACTGTTGATAAATACTTGAAAGGAGTAAACTAAACTCAAGGGCTTCACTTCTAATAATTTAGAAATAAAGGGACCAGACCCTCACTCAGCCCCCTGCTTTAGTAACCATGACAGGCTACAGAAAAGACACACCAGAGTCTAGGGCCAAAACTGAACACAAACTCCAGACCTGTCCCCCACCCAGCCTCCTAGATGCTTGGTTCCTGGGAACTGTTTGGCCACAAAAGAAACTCTAGGGGAGACCAAAACCTCCCCTGTAGTCTGTAGGATATAGTTCTGAAAACTATTGATATTTATGTACAACAGGCCACCTGTAAGTAACAAAACAATGCCATAGAGACCACAGAATGTTCCTTCTCAGCACTGACCAATGAAAACAATTGGAGGATATCGGTCTAGCCCAGCCTCGAACTCAGAGAGAACCGCCTGCCTCTGCCTCCTGAGTGCTGGGATTAAAGGCGTGCGCCACCACCGCCCCGCTCCAGCTGGCATTTTTTTGTTCTTACCATCTAAAAGTATGTGTATATATACATGAGAGTGGAGTCAGAGACAAACTGCAGTTTTTTTCCTTCTGCCACTTGAACCCTGAGGATCTTACCCAGCTATCAGTGAAATAAATCCTCTACCCACTTAACCACCTCTCCAGGGATACTCTGTGTGTGTGTGTGTCTGTGTCTGTCAGGTCACTTGTATGAGTAAGGGTCACCTGGGTGTGCTGTTTTTTTGAGACAGGGTTTCTCTGTGTAACAGCCATCAACGCCTGGCTTTGACATTCTTTGTGTAAAGACCACCCACGACAGAAGGGCGGTGGTGGCACACGCCTTTAATCCCAGCACTTGGGAGGCAGAGGCAGGTGGATCTCTGAGTTTGAGGTCAGCCTGCCTGGTCTACAGAGTTCCAGGACATCCAGGACAGTCTCTAAAACAATACAGAGAAACCCTGTCTGGGAAAAAAAAAAATCACCCATAGTGTAAAAGCTATGGTACTTTGATGCCACTGACTTTTCAAGGAGTGCCCTATGCTTCACTGGTTCTGGGTCTTGCTGCCCAGTAAACATACTCACTAGTGGGGCTGGAGAGTTGGCTCAGTTAAGACCACTTGCCCTGGCAGAAGACCTGGGTTTGATTCCCAGCGCCCACATGCCTCCTCAGGCACACACACGCTCGCACGCACGCACGCACGCACGCGCGTGCGCACGCACGCACGCACGCACACACACACACACACACACACACACACACACACACACACCACCTACACCCACATAGACAAAGGAATCACCAGTGACAATTCCGTCTGTGTCCTGTGAACTAGAAAGTCTGCCTGGGTAGTCTTCGTGTCCTTTCACACCCCACTGTGTCCCCAGCTCAGAGCACGGCACACTGGAGGTCAAGCGGCGTGTGGAGGGTAGCCCACCAGATGCTGGTGTCCATCTCATCTACAGTCCTCACTAGCGCTGCTCAGATGCCTGACAACACAGATCAGGACTCAGCCCCATCGTCAGTCTTTGTTCCCAGTTTTGTCCTTGGCCACATGATCTGCACCCTCTCTGGAGGAACCCAGGGGTCTTCAATGGTAGGGTGGTGTTCCTACCTTAATCCCAAAATGTCTGCAGGTAATGGTTCAATCTGTCGCCAAGGAGAGGAAAACTAACATTTATTTATTTTGTTTGTTTCAAGACAGGGTTTCTCTGTATTGTTTTGGAGGCTGTCCTGGAACTCATTCTGTAGACCAGGCTGTCCTTGAACTCAGAGATCCGCCTGCCTCTGCCTCCTGAGCACTGGGATTAAAGGTGTGCACCAACAACACCTGGCTGAGAACTAACACTTGTAAATTACTTCTTTTCCCCCCAGAAGAAAAACAGTGCTAAGTCTGGCTGGGCCTTCCAGCCCCTGGAGGAGGGGAAGGACAAAAGGCAGCTACCTGGATACTTCGAAGGAAGACTCCACACATTTCTATAATCAGAAACTCAGTTTATTTTGAATAAGCCACTCAAATTTGAGCAGATGACATCGCCTCAACTTTTCTTTGAAGAAAAACAAGGATCTGGTCAGTTCATGAAAACACATCTTTCTCTACCCCTTGCAGGGCAAAACACCAAACCAAACAAAAACAAAAACAAAAAAAAAACAAAAAACAAAAAAACAAAAAAAAAAAAAAAAAAAAAAAAGGAAAAAAAAAGAAAAGAACCACCTCTGGCTGACCTTTCAGATGTCCCTGATCATGTTAACAAAAGGCGGCCTCCACAGGTGCAGCCCCACCAGCTCTGGCTGACAGAGCCTCCTGCAGTGCCAATGGTCGGGCCGCAGCCCAGGAGTAGGAGCAATGCAGCTGTGCAGTTCAGGAAGTGCCCAGGGGCTTTAGGATGCGGAGCTGCAGCTCTGGTCCCATGCCAGGGCCACTGAAAGGACTTGATGGAGAAGTCCGTGACTCAGCACAGACTTCACATGCCACCCCCGGACCCTGCAGCGGGAAGGAACACTCCTTGTTTACAACTGTCTCCCACTTTTATTTGGGGTTCAAGCACTATTTACTAAACCACTTCTCCCAGTTCACCCCACACCCCTCATTGTCGGGGACAACATGAAGAGGCAAAACCTGAGGAGGTGAAAGAATGTACAGCTGGCCGAGTACCCAACAGTCACAGCTGTCACCTGTCTTGAAAACAACTCAATTTTACAGCTTTACATGGTACCTAGGTAATTGCTGACAGGAGGTGAAATGTATGAATATCCAAGAGTCTGCATCGTAATATTCACAGATTTCTCTATGGGCTCTCCCAGGAGTCCAAGGAGGCCCTGTCAAGTATAGACAGCTCTGCCAGTCTTAGAGGGGAGGCACTGAACAAAGCCACAGAAAACCCAGAGATCACAGATCTAACTTTTCAAAGGCCCACAGGACCAGGTTCAAGACAGGAAGGACAGCAGGCACGCTGCCTGTTCCTTACACTCGACTGTGCAAGGACCGGTCCTTCCCTCTGGCCAGCCCCTTCTTGTACAGGAACTGGGACCACAAACCAGGGGCTGCCCAGCCTTAGACTCCCAGACCTTAGAGATGGGGTCCTCTGATCGCTGCAACTAGGCAAAGGGGAACACACCCCACCCCAGAGAAGTTTCTGGCCACACTCCAGGTTAACATAAAAATAACTTGTGCAAACCTAGCTGTTGAGCCACAAGGCCCATGCCCTTGGAAGGGCCACACTGATCTCTGACCTTCATGTTCACAAGAACACATTAAGACAGTGTCAGACATGGCCACATGTGACCCTGGTCAGAGTACACCACTTGAATACTGGATCAAAAGGAACAACCAAAGAAAAGGAAACTTATTTTGGGGAACAAGTCCTTTCAAAGGTGGATCTCTTATCTTTGAGACAAAAGGAAGCACCATGCTGAACTAGGCTCCCAGTCTGGAGGTGCAAACGCCAACCTCTGCTCTGCCGTGGGTTCAGGCTTGGTGGCTCGACTCAGTGAGTCTCACATTCAATAAAAGCAAGCCCACAGTGAGACCCTGCTCTGCTCTGTGCCCTTCCTGCCCAGCTAAGGCAGGAGGTACATGACTCTGTACTCTGTGACTGTTATGCAGGCCAACTCAGTTCCCCACCATCTGCCACCCACACTCTTCTCTTGGGACCCCAGCTAAGGTCACACAGGATGCTGGACAGCAGAGACCACCCCAGGGACCCTGGCAGCAGACATTCTGAGGCTCCGTGGGTGGGCAGCATCAAGTTACATTCTAAGTAAAGTAGCTAGAGGGTAAACACTCCAATGCCAATTTATTTTCAAAAGGGCTCTGTGTTATCTTATGGTTTGCCTTCTTTTCTTTCAAATCGTACAACCTTTGAAAATTACATAAGTTGTAATGATCTAATACTATTAATAGCCACTCAGGAAAAAAAAAGTTCCCTCCCTCCCAACAACCATCCAGGGAGAATTTAAAAGTCCTTACTAGAGGCTAGTTCAACATGGCCTCTTCCCTGGTAGAAACAAAAAGCAAAAAGATAAGGAGAAAACAAATTGACTAAGAGGTGTGTTGCCAGTGTCTCTCAGGAGTGGGGCCCTGGCTGTTGCCTGGGGTCGTGAAAGGCAGAGCCTGCAGCATGCAGTACGGTAGCCGGAAGGCCTCACAGCTACATCTTCCTCACCCCGGCACACCCACAGCCAGCTTAGGTGTCGTGAAAATCCTTCAGCAGGGTTCTTCTCCGCTGCTCCGCTATGTGCATTTGGTTTTCCAAGTCCTGTACAAGGGACACACAGCAGGTGTTTACAAGTCCCAATGTTAGGAGCAAAGAGTAAGCAAAGCCACAGCCATTGTTATCAGGGGCTCCAAGTTGTCTAAAACAATCGCTCTTCCGCCGTCCTCTGCAGCAGCTGAAGTCCCATGCCCATTACAATCCCCTTTCCTTACCTGCAACAGGGCAGAAGGCACTTACCCCTCTGTCATAGCTGTCTGCACGCTCAACTTTCCATGAGAGGTTCTCGATCTCAGCCTCCAGTTGAGCCTGCTGGTATTCAAACTGTATGGGCAGAGCAGGAGGGTCAGAAGGAGAGGGGGCTGTAGCTGGGCAGGGCCTGCAGATGGAGGCACACGCAGCACCTCAGGCTCGAAACAGCAACTGACAACCCTGTCACTGTCCTGAGAGTGCCTACTACTCACTGTGCCTGAGCTGGAAAACAACATCCAAAGAGCTCCATAAGAGAGGAGCAGGCAGCCAGGAAACATTTGCCTTCCACCACCAACAGAAGGTGAGAAACGTAAGCCAAAGGAAAAGATGTTCCCAAAATATTGGGACACAGACGCTGCAAAGGTGAAGTTAAGAGGGATATTCTCAAGACACTGTATGCATTCAACACTTCACTTTCCCCCAGCTAGCTAGCCTATCAAAGCCTCAAAGTCAAGGCTAGGAATGTGTCTCAGTTGGTGAAATGCCTACAAGATGTACATAGCCTTAGGTTCAGTTCCCAACACTGTGAACGGTGTGTGGTGACTCATCACTGCAATCCCACACTAAGGAACACCAAGCTCAAGGTCCTCCTTGGTTACTTAGCAAGTTTGAGGACAGCCTGAGCTACATGAAACCCTAACTCTATATACTTTTCTTGGTCTTATTTGTGACAGTGAAAATGGAAACAACTGTCATTTCAAATGATGATACATTAAAGCAATATAGATGGAGCATTTATAGAACCACTAAAGAAAAAAAAATTAAGTCTGGCCGGGCAGTGGTTGTCCACGCCTTTGAACCCAGCACTCGGGAGGCAGAGGAAGGTGGATCTCTGTGAGTTCCAGCCTGTGAGTGCCAGCCTGGTCTAAAAGAGCAAGTTCCAGGACAGGCTCCAAAAGCCAGAGAAACCCTGTCATGAAAAACAAAACAAAAATTTCAGTTTGATAATTGGTGACACCTGTAACAATGATAAACTTGTAACAATAAAATGTGCACATGTATCCTTGTTTGAGATAGAGTTTCTCTGTATAACAGCCCTGGAACTTTCCTTTGTAGAGCATGCTGGCCTCCAAGGCACAGAGATTTGCCCTACTGTTTCCTGAGTACCCGGAGTAAACTATTGAGTGCCACCACTGTACCAGGTCATATTTTTTTTAAAGACTTATTTATTATGTATACAGTGTTCTGCCTCTACACCAGAAGAGTTGCTGGGAATTGAACTCAGGACCTTGGGAAGAGCAGCCAGTGCTCTTAACCTCTGAATCATCTCTCCAGCCTGATTTTGTTTTTTGAGATAAGGTACTGCTATGTTACTATAGAATATTGTTTTAAGGTGTATTGTATTTGTTTATGCTGTGGAACATTTGTTTTAATAATGCAAAGATGTGTTGCATTCTTTCATTTCATTTGTCTAACTCTGTGAAGCTGTGATTCTTTGCCTGTCTAAAACACCTAATGGTCGAATAAAGAACTGAATGGCCAATAGCAAGGCAGGAGAAAATAGGCGGGGCTGGCAGGTAGAGAGAATAAATAATGGGAGGAGAAATCTGGGAGAAGGAGTAAGAGAACAAGGAGGAGAACTTCAGGGGCCACAGCAGTAAGAGTGAAACTGAGATACACAGAAGAAAAGGAAAAAGACCAGAGGCAAAAGGTAGTTGGGATAACTTAAATTAAGAATAGCTGGCAAGAAACAAGCCAAGCCTGGCGGTGGTGGTGCACGCCTTTAATCCCAGCACTCGGGAGGCAGAGGTAGGTGAATCTCTGTGAGTTCGAGGCCATCCTGGTCTACAGAGCTAGTTCCAGGACAGGCTCCAAAACAATACAGAGAAACCCTGTCTCAAAAAACAAAAACAAACAAACAAAAAAGAAAAAAGAAAATGCTGTGATCTTGTCACTCACCCCCAGTAGGATAATGAATAATATAAATGCTATGTTTACTTTAAGTGATACATATACATTACTTTGGCCCCAGCAGAAACGACCATATCCAAGAGGAAGAACTAGAGGAATAAAAGAGCAAATATAATGTAATGATGTGCATGGCATGGTCACTGGCTATCCAAGGTCTGATTACAGATGCTCAGGGCAGAAATGGAATTTTACAGTAAGACAGTTTGACTGTATTCTCACAATGACCTGGTCAGAGCCCTGTTCACATGCCATGTACTGGTAAGAATGGGCCCCTCTAAAAGCTGCAGGATACAGAAAGGCAACTCTAGCTTACCAGCTTTTTCCTGGGACCAGACTCCATGTAGTAGGCATATGGATAGGTGTACTGCAGGGTGTATCGACACTGTGAAAGGAAAGAAAAAAGGACCTCCATCTTCCTAACTGACCCGCAGCGCAGTGGCTCTTACAATTCACACTCAACCATGCAAATGGCTGCAGATATGTGGACCTTAAAGCAACGAGGCCAAAACTACAGAGATGGTGGACTCCAGACACAGAGAAAACTGAAACAAGAATGGTCACAGATGCCGACACTGAGTTATTGCCACCAGTTACCTCATGGTTTTTTCATCTTTAGTCGGCTTTCTCAGTGTTGGCAGGGGGCAGTAAAACTGCTCACACATAAATCTCTGGGACTTCTGGTATATTCAGCACAGGGAATGTGCACTCATAGATGCGCATGTAGAGCTACACACGGCACCAAACTCCACCTCTTTTCAGAGGTGAACTCTCAACCCTATTGTTTACAGCAAGCAGGGACAAGGCTGGGACTAGTGACGGAAGAGGGAGAGGGCAGATACCTTGGCCAACAGCTTAGCAGCGTTCTGCAGATATTGCCAGTCAATCCACGTTCCCAAATTGTTCATAACCCTCTCTTGAATCTTTTCATGAATCCGCTGGTATGTCTGTGCCTCTAGCTGTAAACTTTTGTTGTGGTTTTCCCACTACAAAGCAGAAGAAGGAAAAATGTACAGGAGTCCCACTAAGGTACAGGGATCAACACAGGAGTTTAGGACAAACACCGTGGGCCATGCCCACAGGTGGAAAAGACTGACCATGATCTGTCATTCAACTAAGGTAATATCAGGTCCTTCTCCATTCAGCTGTGTCTGTCCTGCACAACTGAAAAGCCATATTTGCAAGAGGCAATACTCAGGCAGGTACAGGAGCTCCATTCACTGACTTCCACATTTACACGGCATCCCAACGATCTCATTTCAGCAAGCCAGTGCAAGAAACCTACTCTGGAGGGCACGATATGACAAGACACCTACCCTCTCAAAGTAGAACAAGTACTTCTTGAGGGCCTCCCTGGCCTGGGCTTGCTGGCTCTGGTTGACAATGTCGGGATTCTCCTTGTACCGACTACACTCATAGTATTCACTGCCGTGTGTCTTCCAATCTCCTAGACACATCCAGCAGAAGTCTGCACAGAACAGAGGGTGAGTCATTCACCTTCGCACACTCCTCTACAACAGAGGGAAAAATCAGTAGGACGAAGGGCTAACCCGAGCACTAAGTATCAAGGGCGCCTCTTTGCAGAGGGATGTGCAATTCTCAATCTTGTCACAACTGACTGTCCCCACAGCTTGTCAGGATAGCCAATGGCCATGAGCACACATGCTGTGTGCCTTACTGCTGACTGTACAAAGTCACTGGTCAGCTTGGTCAACGCCATTGTAAGAAGCAAACAATACCCACATGAGGCCCCTCTGGTCACCTAGAACACACGCTGCCCATATAAACTACTGTCCTAATTACTTACCTAAAATTTTATATGCAAGTCTGGAAACAAAAGCTTTTTTCTTTTTTGGTGCATGCACACCTATGCAGTGCACACACATGGAAGACAGAGGTCAATTCTAGTGTTGTTCCTCAGTTGTCATCTTATTTCATCCGTTTTTCCCTCTTGAGACAAGGTCTAGGGTTCACCCCTTCAGCAAGCTCCCAGAGTTTACCTGTCTTTGCCTCTCCAACATTGGGATTACAAGTATATACCACCATAATGGTTTTGTTACTTGGGTTCTGGGGACTGAACTCAGACTGCCATGTTTGAGCATGTATTAGTAAAAAATCTCTATCTACTCAATAGTTCACAGGCAGAATTACAAGTGCAATTCTGTTTCCCCACTGAGGAAGGAAAAAAAAATCTAAAATTGCTATGTAGGGTTGGAAAGATGGTTCAACTATCTGCAACTCCAAGATCTGACACTCTCACACAGACATAGGATCAGGAAAACAACAATGTGCATAAAAATGAATTATAAAAAATTCTCTGCTTAAAAAAAGTATGCTATGTATTCTAATAACAACTGTCATCTAATAGAGGTCACCTACCAATTTTGTTAGACATCCAAGATCTAGTCTCTGTTGTGTTGTTCTGTTTCTGCCAGAGAACCTATTAGTGGTAAATCCTGTTCCCCAGGATTTATACTTTAACTTGGGCACTGACTTTCCAAAAGGAGTTGTTAGGGCATTTTGGAGAAGGAAAAATCAAATGCAGCCAGGCACATTTATTCAACTCCTGTTTCCTGGAGGTCCTCATCTAATAGTGGGTTAACATGGTCCCTTCCTTATTCAGTTAGGTTGCTTTAAGGGATAATACATTGCTTAGGGTTGTTCTAGTAAGTGACAGAATTATACAGCAAACTGTGGCTGTGGGGAGATAGGGAGACGAGGATTCCTAAACACTAGAAATATCTGATGGAGTCTGTGCACTTTTCTTCCTTTTCTTTTTGGTTTTCAAGACAAGGTTTCTCCATGTAGACCAGCTATCCTTGAACTCACAGAGATCCACCTGCCTCTGCCTCCCAAATGCTAGAATTAAAGATGTGTACCAGGACATCTTCCTTTTCTTCTTATGCACCAGGGTAATTGTTAGGAGACCCAAATTGGCCTCAAACATTTGTACTCAACCAATTCTTTCTTTCTTTCTTTTTTTTGGTTTTTCGAGACAGGGTTTCTCTGTGGCTTTGGAGACTGTCCTGGAACTAGCTCTTGTAGACCAGGCTGGTCTCGAACTCACAGAGATCCACCTGCCTCTGCCTCCCAAGTGCTGGGATTAAAGGCGTGCAAGCCACCACCGCCCGGCTGTACTCAACCAATTCTACTGCCCAGTTTCTCAGGGGTACCCAACATATAACTTCTTTTAGGAAAAAACTTTCACTTGGTTCCCTGCAAAGAGCAGCAGGAAGCCTGACCACCATTCTTCTTTAAACACACGTGGCAATGCCCTGCTGTAAGTGCATGACAGAAGACTTCTCCCTCTAACAAGAATCAGTATTGTAAAACTGTCTATAACTTTACCAGACACTCTTAATTACAGAAGGCTTGTGGGAATAGCACCAGCATGGGCCCCAGCAAACAGTTAATTACCAGGTGTGATGGTGCTAACCTTTAATCATCACTTGGGAGGCAGAGGCAGGTGGATCTCAATGAGTTAGTAGAGGACAGCCTGGTCACATAGCTAAAAAGTTCTAGGCTTGCCAAGGCTACATAGTAAAACTGGTCTCAAAATAACCAATCAACAAAGACCTCCATTCCCAAAGAAATGGTCAGTCTCGGGGGCTGGAGAGATGGCTCAAAGGTTAAGAGCACTGACTGCTCTTCCAGAGGTCCTGAGTTCAATTCCCAGCAACCATATGGTGGCTCACAACCATCTGTAATGAGATCTGGTGCCCTCTTCTGGCGTGCAGGCAGAACATTGTATACATATTAATAAATAAATAAAATCTTAAAAAAAAAAAAAAAAGAAATGGTCAGTCTCCTGCTCAGCAATGAAGAAATTGTGGGCGACTATCTGAAACACATTTTCTATTTGTAGGAACTTGATCTGGCAGGAAGGAAAGGGAAACTATCGATCTGTAGCTACGTAAACTGGTCCTGATGGATGGAGACCCAATCAAAGGTCTTTCTGGAAACGGCTCTGAAGAACTGGTTTTGCAGCACCATGGCAAAGCCATGGACAGCCTTTTCTAAAAGACACACCTCTTATGGTATCTCAGAGAGTCCTCTTGGTATCTGTTTTGGCAAAAAGAATAAGACACACTAAAACCTTGAACTGAGTGTGTTGGTACATGCCTGTAATCCAACCACCTGTGAGATAGGGTCAGAGGATTGCTTCAAGTATAAGACCAGCTAGGACCTTGTGCCTGAGCAGGACCCTGTCCATAAAAGATAAGGAAAAAAGAGGTAGTATTGGGGCCAGGCGGTGGTGGCACACGCCTTTAATCCCAGCACTCGGGAGGCAGGCGGATCTCTGTGATTTTGAGGCCAGGCTGGACCAACAGCCTCCAAAACAATACAGAGAAACCCTGCCTTGTAAAACCAAAAAAAAAAAAAAAAAAAAAAGAGGTAGTATTGGATGGCTGAGGAGCATGAAGGTCACACAAAAGGACTTAAAAAATCAGCAAGATGGCAGTTGAATTATAAAAGAATGCTCCCCTCCACAAGAAAATGGAAAGTTGCTCTTATGCCGGTTAGAGTGATCTTAAGTGATGGAGGCCCCCCCTTTGTTTTGCCATTTCATTACAAAAGAACTCACTATAAGTAACGGAGAACAAAACACAAGAAGCATAACCCATGCTCCTGGACCGGAGACCAGGCCTGGGACTCACCGTGCTTACACTTGGAGCATTGCTGTCAGAGAGAACAGAAGAGAACACATTAAGGAAGAGTACTTTGACCAAGGGTTCCAAGTCACACATGCAAACCCTCTGTTTCTGCTCACCATGTGATTGCAGCCTCCGTTCTTCTCAATACAGATGTTGCACTTGGGACACTGAGGAGACAGAAAGGTGCCATTAGGCTTACACATCATCAGCCCAGTTCTAAGAAAAATTACACAAAACTCCAGGCACGCGTGCCCAATAGCTCATCGCAAGCACTTCTGAGGAGGAGTGTTTCACTTAAATGTGGCGGGTCGCTGAGGCTGGAACAGCAATTCAAGGAACCGAGGTCAGCATGTTTGGCTCTGTAATAATATGAGTACCAGCTGAGCCCCACTAAGTCTTCTGCCATCTGTCCTTGCTGTGACACCACTCAGATTAAGCCCAGGCTGAAGCAGCAGAAAGCCTGCATGCTGGGAGAATGGCCACCCTGGACCAAGTCCTGGTGAGCTAGCTTGGACTTTGGCTTCCAGAAGCGGGTCTGGAAACCACCTCTCACTTGAAAAAGGCTAGCAACCCAGCACCTAGTCTGACATGGAGCCTCCCATTAGAGTGAAGCAGTCTGTGTAGAGATCCAAGTGAGTCAGTGAGTGAGTGACTGCATAGGGAACAATGGATGCTTTAATGAATACTGAGAATATCAGGGTTTCTATTACAGTCTTGTTATTTATGAGCTAGGCCAATTAACCACTCCACTCCCAGGGCTACCAAAGCTTGGTACATACTTATTTTATAGTTAGTTTTCCTTTGGATCAAACTTTTCTAATTATTTTGGAATTTTATTAAAATAATGCCATCTGGGCCTAGAGATGGCTCAGCAGTTAACATCACTGTTGGCTGATCTTGCATATGACCTGGGTTCAATTTCTAGTGCCACACAGTGGCTCAAAATCACCTGTAGTTCCAGTTCCAGATGCATCATGTATGTGGTGCACATACATGTATTCAGGCAGAACATTCATACATATACAGTAAAAAAAAATTGTTTAGTTTTATTTTGAGACAGAGTCTCTCTCATGTAGTTCTGGCTGTTCTGGAAATGTTATATGGACCAGGCTGGCCTCAAACTTACAGAGATCCAGCCAGGCAGTGGTGGCACACATCTATAATTCCAGCACTTGGGAGGCAGAGGCAGGTGGGTATCTGTGAGTTCGAGGCCAGCCTGGTCTACAAAGTGAGTTCCAGGACAGAGAAACCCTGTCTCGAAAAACAAAAAGACAAAACAAAACAAAAAACCCCAACAACCTTACAGAGAGATCCATCTGCCTCTGTCTCTGCAGTACAATGATTAAATATGTGGGCAACTAGGTCCAGCATGGAAAAATAAATATTTTTTCAAAAATAAATGCATCCAAGGATAAAAACTGATAAAAATATACTAAGCATGGCCAAGAGTCTAGAGTCTCTATAAGTTCCTAGGCTATGTGCTGTGCTCTCAGATGGCCACTCTTGCGGGCAGAGCCTTGGGGAGCATTGCTTGGGGAAATCCCATGCCAGGTAACACACAGTCCTTACGTCTTTAGTGTGAGCACTGATGTAGTTAGCTGTTTCAGAGTCATCTGCACACTTCGTGAGCCATTTCCGGATTGTGGCGCAGTCTGTGGGGGCGTGATACATCTGTCGACACTTAAAACTTAAAATTGGAAAAGAAACACATTCAAATAGTCATCAAGTTAGTTTCAAATTTTCCTGAATTAAAGCTTTAGACAAAAATCACTTTTTGAGGTCGTAGGGACTTTACTCACACAGGATTATAATGAAATACATTGTGAATGTTTCTTCAACTCCAGCCTGAGACATGCTCAATAGGCCCCCCTGAAGTTCCTCCTTAAACACCTTGGATGGTATTAACTCAGCTTCAGCAGTCCCCCGACCCCATATCAAACTCAAGGCCTTGCACTTTACTATGACGCTACATTCTGTGCCCTCAAGTCAGGTTTGTGGGGTTTTTTGTTTGTTTTTTCCTGCAACAGAGCCTCATATGTCCTAGACCAGCCTCCAAAGACTACCTTAAACTTGCGGTCTTTCTGCTTCTACTTCCTGAGTACTGGCATTACAGGCATGAGCCAAACAGGCCTGGTTGTTGTGGTATTGAAGATAAAATCCAGGGCTTTGTGTACAACGCAAGCACTCTACCAACTGAGCTACATCTCCAGCCATAAGCTCAGCTTCTTGGCAGGCAAGTACTCAGAAGGTACTCTAAGGAGCACCTTCAATTCAGGGTTAAGGTAGAACTGAAACTTTTGGGAGTTTCTCTACACCTTCTGGCCAGATGTGCAGAAGGACTCACAAATGCCAGAACTTGTAAAATCTGGGGGTCCTAATACATCTGACAAGAGTTGAAGCAGAAAAAGAAACAGCTTTTTTCTATAAACCGACAGTAAGGTCCACAGGCAGACAGCAGACACATGCCTTTGGGAAAGAAGCTCTTGATGTGAGATCAAGGTGGCAAAGCAACTGTTCAGTTCAACTCTTGGTGGGGCAGAGTCCTTCACTGTCCTGAAGGGCAGAATACACACTCCCATTTATTGTGAAGCTTCTCTGAAGCAGACCATCAGTCTTCCAGGGAGGTGCAATTAGGACGGACCCTGATTTAAATTATGACTCTGCTATTTACTAGTAGGTCCATTTACCTCATCCTTTGATTTCCTCACCGAGAACACATACTGGTGACAGAGGCAATCTCCCAGTTGTGATATGTAGGGAAAATGGCTGGACAGTGCTCATCACTTGGAAAGAATTTGTTAAGTTTTGGCTATGCCCATGGAATTTACTGAATTGGGAGTACCTAAGGATTAGAATTCACCCATGAATTAATAGTTTCATAAAAGTCAGTCCGTACCAGTTAGGCGGCACATGAACTCAATCAATACCAGCTCTTGGGGTGCACACTTCTATGATTCTGAGGTCAGCCTGGGCTATAAATAAGATTCAGGATATCCAAAGTTACATAGCAAGACAAAACAACAAAAAACCGAGGTCAAATTAACAAAAAACAAAGTCAAAGGGGTGTGGGGAACATAGCTCAGTTGATAGAATGCTGGCCTAGCATGCACATGGGGCAATCCCTAATAACATATAAATTGGGCGTGGTGTTGCAAGTCTGGAATCCCAGCACTGTGGAAGCAGAGGGAGGATGATCAGATGTTCAAGACCATCCTTGGCTATACTGTGAATCTGAGGTCAGACTGAGTTAAACTAGACCTTGCCTAAAAATTTTTTTCTAATTAAAAAAGGTAGCTAAGCCGGGAGTTGGTGGCACTCGCCTTTAATCCCAACACTCAGAAGGCAGAGGCAGGTGGATCTCTGTGAGTTCAAGGCCAGCCTGGTCTACAATAGCTGGTTCCAGGACAGTCTCCAAAGCCACCGAGAAACCCTGTCTTGAAAAACCATAAAAACAAAAAGTAGCTAAGAAAAGTTTTTTTTTTTTTTTTTTTGGTTTTCGAGACAGGGTTTCTCTGTGGCTTTGGAGGCTGTTCTGGAACTCACCCTGTAGACCAGGCTGGCCTCGAACTCACAGAGATCCACCTGCCTCTGCCTCCCGAGTGCTGGGATTAAAGGCGTGCGCCACCAACGCCCGGCTAGTAGCTAAGAAAAGTTTAAAACAGAGAAAGCTGCAGCATGGTTTACAGAGCAAGTTCCAGGACAGCTCCCAAAACAATACAGAGAAACCCTGCCTCGAAAAAACAAAAAACAAAACAAAACAGAGAAAGCTGAAATGTTCAAGTCATATGTAAATTGTCAGTAAAGGTAGACAATCTCTGGGTTGTGAGTATAGTATAAACCTAACGGGCTGGAGAGATGGCTCAGAGGTTAAGAGCACTGGCTGTTCTTCCAGAGGTCCTGAGTTCAATTCCCAGCAACCACATGGTGGCTCACAACCATCTGCAATGAGATCTGGTGCCCTCTTCTGGCCTGCTGGCAGACATGAAGTGCTGTATACATAATAAATAAAATCTTAAAAAAAAAGAAAAAAAAAAAACAAAAAATCCCTAACATATTCCTGCCAGTTATTTGTCTCCAAAGTCTATTCATTTACCAAAATACTTCAAGGACACAAACTGCAGGGCACAAATGTGGCCACTACCAGCAGAGTACTCTACTGGAACATCTCTCCAGGCCTGTCCTCACATACAGCAAGTGTACTCTTTGGAGGAAAATGGGCCATGAGCCCAGGACTTCTCAGCGCCCACTCCCTCTTACCAGAAGACCTCGTTGCATCGATTGCACTGCACTCGGCGAGCTCTAGGCTCTTGTACCCGAATAACCATGGGGCAGTCTGCACCAGGGCACAGCTGGAGCTGGTAATGACTCTGTGAACACAAAGGAACATGATGTTCAAGTGCTTCTGCTCTTCTAGCTGAGAACCTGTTTCAAAGGACTCAACAAACTTAGGATGAAGAACAAATATTAACAAGTTACCGAAGACAATCTTTGTTTAGCTTAAAACAGGTTTCCACGTCGGGTGTTGGTGGCACACGCCTTTAGGACCAGGCTGGCCTTGAACTCATAGAGATCCTCCTACCTCTGCCTCCTGAGCGCTGGGATTAAGGGCTACCACCACCTAGCTCCAATAGCAACTCTTGAGCTATACCAGACCTGTGCTCACTCCCTCATAAGCTTGCTCAGCTTGTTTAATCAACTGTGTACACTTTGAGATGACTGTTCATATTATGGAAATGAAAACCAAGACTCAGGGCTGGAGAGATGGCTCAGTGGTTAAGAGCACTGACTGCTCTTCCAGAGGACATGGGTTCAATTCCCAGCAACCACATGGCAGCTTACAACTGTCTGTAATTTCGGTACCAGGGAACCCAACAACCATGACAAAACATCAATGCACATAAGAATCAATTAATTTAAAAAACAAACCAAGATTCAGGTAAATTCATGAGCAAGTGGTCTCATAACAAGAAAGTAACACAGTGGTTTATCTGACCCCACAGCCTTGATCATATATGTATTTTTAAATTAAATTATGTATCTATAAATGGGGAGCAGGTAGATATATGCATGAATCCAGGTACATAAGATCCCCTGAGGCTGAAGTTACAGAGGGGACATGAGTGCCGGGAACTAACTCAGGTCCCCTTCAATATTCTAAACGGCTGAGCCATTTCTCCAGCCCCAAGACCTATGTGATTCATCACCCACCATCTAAAGGCAGCTGTGATTATACTATGTAAGGTAGGCTCAGGAGGACAGAGGGCAAAAGACAGGGTTGCTCATACCTCCACATAGTCCCTAAAGAGGTAGCGCCTGTATTTATCTCTCAATTCTTCATTGGGAAGCAAGGGAAACACAAAGTCCTCTGGTGTTCGGAGTGGACAATCCTGAGCCATACACGAGACTCCTGTTGAACAAAGATAATGTAATGGATAGCCAAATTGCAGAAGACACATACATCTACCTAATAGTTCAACCAACAAATTATAATTTCATATAGGATATCCTCTGTCCAAAATATTTATCAAAAACTTATTCAAAGAGAAATTAGCATGTTTTCATAGTAATGTAACACATATATCAGCATAAGCATCACTAAATAAAATTACAGGGTTGGATGTAGTGGCTCACAACTTTAATTCCAGCACTGGGAACACAGAGCAGAGGCAGAGGTGGGGGGGGTCTCAGAGAGTTTGAGGCCAACTTGGTTTACATAGTGAGACCCAGGCTAGCCAAGGCTACACAGCAAGACGTGTCTGGCTGTGGCTAGCCTTGAACTCCGGATGCTTCCTCCCAAATGTTGGGATCACGAGCATTTACCACCAGACCCAGGTTAACATATTGAGATTCTGCAGGTAACAATGAACATGGTTCTAATTAGTCTTAATAATATCAAGTCACAGAACAACAAACACTCCTGTAGCTGGTACTAAAATCTGATATAGTCGAGGGAATCAAGACATGGTAGCCAGTTCAAATGACAGATCTCTTAAAGGTGAGAAAATCTCCTTGTATTCACACCAATATCCGTAAAACCATTTATTTCCTTATTTTGCTGGAGACTACAGAGAATTGTGCTACTATTTTAGACTGGAATTTAGAAACCATCAGACTCTGGGTGGTGGTGGCACACACCTTTTAATTCCAGTACTTGGGAGGCAGAGGCAGGTGGATCTCTGTGAGTTCGAGGCCAGTTTGGTCTACAGAGTTAATTCTAGAACAGCTAGAGCTGTTCACAGAGAAACTACCAGACCTAACTATAAGAACCTGTCAATCACAGAAGAAAAGTTCAGTTAAATGAACTGGGTTCCCCACCCCAGTACCCATATGATGACTACAACCAACTGTAAAATCAGTTCCAGGGAATCCCATGCCCTCTTCTGACTTCCACACATACCATGCCCACTTACAAAACACTTACACACATAAAATCAAAGGAATAAATGTCATTAAAACTTGACAACAAAGATTTATTTTGAGAGTCACATTTAAGCTTGGTGCAGACTCACCTACACCAACACCGTCCTTGACAAGTACTGAGCAATGCTGCTCCCAGCAGCTTCGGCAAAACTGATGTTGGCAGGCCAGAGAGAGTAGGTTTTCCTTCCGCACAAACTGCATACACACTGCACAGTGGTGAGAAGGATGGACTGTGGGGACCTAGAGAGAGATGTAGCCACATAAGCCAAAGACTAACCATCAAATTCAGTCTTAAAGGTTCTGAAAGATCGAGCAGGGTGTTGGTGGTGCACGCCTTTAATCCCAGCACCCGGGAGGGAGAAGTAGGTAGATCTCTGTGAGTTCGAGGCCAGCCTGGTCTACAGAGCAAGTTCCAGGACAGCCTCCAAAACAATACAGAGAAACCCTGTCTCGAAAAACCAAAAACAGACTACCTCCTGGGTGCTCTGACACTTGGTAGAAGACCTGGGTTAGGTTCCCAGCACCCACTTGGCAGCTCACACCCATCTGCAGCTCCAGTTTCAGAGGATTTGATGCCCTTTGCAGGCCTGTACTCCCATCAGACATACATGTAGTGCACAAGTATACATGCACACAAAACACTCATAAGTAAAGTAAAATAAATACATTTGTTAAAAAAAAAAAGAATCAGGCATGGTGGTGCATGCCTTTAATCTCTGCACTCGGGAGGCAAAGGTGGCAGTTTCAGGACAGCCTGGTCAACATAATGTGGCAAGACCCTGCAAACAAATAAAAGATAGGGGGAAGAAAAAAAGGGAAAAAACAAGGGGATAATTAGGAGCAAAATAAGGAGCTTGGGCAGGCTATATAATACAAAAACAAAGCTGATGCTAACACTGAAGACAGAGACAGCCATGAACATCCAAAGAAGCCTGACTAAAACAGGAGACACTCAGGACTGGAGAGATGACTCAGCAGCTGGGAGCACTGGCTGTTCTTCCAGAGGACCCAGGTTCAATTCCCAACACCCACATGGCAGCTCCCAACTGTCTGTAACTCCAGTTTCAGGGGATCTGATACTTTCATAGGCATACATTCAGGGAAAACAAGAATGCACATGAAATAAAAATAAACAAATTAAGAAAAAGGCGGTGGTGGCCAACACCTTTAATCCTAGCACTCAAGAGACAGAAGCAGGTGGATTTCTGTGGGATCGAGGCCAGCCTGATATGCAGAGAGAGTTCCAGGGCAGCTATGGCTATACAGAGAAACCCTGCCTAGAAAAACCAAAAGACAAACAACCAGGAAATACTTGCATGCTTTGATGGATTAGGCTGAACTCGAGCCTCCACAAGCAGCTGAGCAGAATTAGACCTGTACCTAGAAAACAAAAAGGGCAGAAATAGAGAATCAGAAACTGAAGACATTATTAACTCTCAATAACAGAACCATCACATATTGTGCTTGCATTAAAGTTTTTTACCTTGTCAGCACAACAATCCATGTCTATAATTCTAACACTGAGCAAGTTTGAAGTCAATGTATTCTACATAGTGAGTTTGAGGTTATTGCTAATGGTTTCCTTATTGAACCAAGTTTCCTTTTATCTCAATACAAATGTTCTTTTAATTTTTGGGGAGGTGGCAGGGGCAGAAATGTTGGAGACAGGGTTTCACTATGTAGACCAGTTGACCTCAAATTTACAGAGATCCATCTCTGCTTTCTAAGTACTGAGACTGAAGGGTGTGCCTCTATGCACAACTGGTTTTATTTGTTTGTTTCTTTTTTGTTTTTTTTTTTTTTGAGATAGGGTTTCTCTGTCCTGGAACTCACTCTGCACACCAGGCTGGCCTCAAACTCACAAAGTCTTGCCTCCCAAATGCTGGGACTAAAGGTATGAGTCACCACCACCAACACCACCTGGTTGGTTGTTTTTTGAGATAGGGTTTCTCTGTGTAACAGCTCAAGCTGTTCTGGAACTCATTTTGCAGACTAGCCTGGCCCTTTTAGGTCTTGGTATGTTTTATGTTTTGCCTGCATGTATGTATGTACATCATATGCATACCTAGTGCCATGCAGGCCAGGAGAAGGCACTGGATTTCCTGAATCTAGAGTCAGTTGTAAGCTGCCATGTGGTGCTAGGAATTGAATCTGGGTCCTGAGACTGCTCTCAATGGCTGAACCACCTCTCCAGTCCTCAAAAAGGTTTTTTTTTTTGACAGAAAAGATAAATGTCTTCTGATGAGAAGATAGTATAAAATGCAACCATATTAAATACAAAGCTGAAGAATGCATACAGCGTGTTTATGTTATAGAGTTATAAAATTGTAAGAGTATAAAAATATGGGATGAAGATGGAGCTCAGTTAGTAGAGTACTTGCTTAGCATACACAGGATACTGGGTTTGATGTCCAGCACTACAGTAACTTTGGTTGAACATGTATGCAATTTCAGTACTCAAGAGAAAGAGACAGGAGAAGCTACCATGCCCAACCTGAAGATTATTTTTGATTGTCAGGACTTGGGGGTTCCACTGCTCCTGACTTATAGTAGGTAAAGCCCAGAGGTACTGCCAAACTTCATATAGTTTATGCAGTAACACCCCATTCCCCAATAATTATTCCTTCTAATCATTGATCTGTATTCCCATGTACTTCAGCTGTTAAGGGCGGGCAGATCACAAGTTAAAGGCCAGCCTGGGCTACAGAGAAACTTATTTCACCTAGATTACTTAGCAAAATCCTATTTCAAAATAAAGGGTAAAATAGGGCTGGGGATACAGTTCAGTGGGAAAACACTTTGATGGCTCAGAGGTTAAGAGCCCTGATTGCTCTTCCAGAGGTCCTGAGTTCAGTTCCCAACAACCACATGCTGGCTCACAGCCATCCATAATGAGATCTGGTTCCCTCTTCTGGCGTGCAGACATATGTGGAGGCAGGATGTTGTATTCATAATAAATAAGTCTTTAAAAAAAAAAGTGAGAGACAGACACCGAATAATTTCTCCAAGATGTCAACAACAATCACAATGGGTGGGCAGACACTGAAGGATGATAGGGACAAATTCATCTCCCTTTCACCAAGATTAAATTGGACATCTTAACAACTTATTGAACATCCTACCTGTCTAGGACATATTCTAGGTAGTTTTTGTAAATTTGACACAGCTAGAGTCACTGGAGAGGAGGGACCTCTAGATACTGAAGCAATTTCATCTTTCCACTGATCATCTTACCTATCCAGGGTCACGACGACTAGTTTTTATGTCAATTTGACACAAGCCAGAGTCACCAGAGAGGAGGGAACCTTGACTGAGAAAATGCTCCCATAAGATCAGGCTGTAGACCTGGCAGATTAGCACACACTTTTGATCCTAGCACTCAGAGGCAGAGACAGGTCGATTCTTGGGGTTCAAGGCCAGCCTGGTCTACATCATGAGTTCCAGAACAGACAGAGCTACATAATAGCTTTCTCAAAACAAAAGATCAGGCTGTAGGCAAGCCTGAAGGGCATTTTTTTCTTAATTAGTGATGGTGAGGGCCCAGCCCGTTGTGTGTTTTGCCACCCCTGGGCTTGTGGTTCTGGGTGCTACAAGAAGGCAGGCTGAGCAAGCCATGGAGAGCAAGTCAGTAAAATAACACCCCTCATCATGGCCTCTGTATGGCTCCTGCCTTCAGGTTCTTGCCAGGTGTGGATATTCACCTTGGCTTTCCTCAACGGACTGTGATTCAGGATACGTAGCAAATAAACCCCTTTCTCTCCAAGCTGCTTTTAGTTATGGTGTTTCATCACAGCAATAGAAAAGTCAGCAATATACAAGAATTTTAGATTTCTTTTTTTTTGTGATCCACAAATTTTATTTATAATATTTCTGTTTTGTTATCTGATTTTTTTTAAAGATTTATTTATTACATATACAGTGTTCTGTCAACACGCCAGAAGAGGGCACCAGATTGAATTGTAGATGGTTGTGAGCCACCATGTGGTTGCTGGGAATTGAACTCAGGACTTCTGGGGGAGCAGCCAGTGCTCTTAACCTCTGAGCCATCTCTCCAGCCCCTGATTTTTTATTACTAATACGTAAAATAGTAGAATTTCCGTCCACTGAACTGTTTATAAGGCTAGGAAATCTGCTTTCTTATTCAGTCCTTGCTGAATAAGAAAATTGGTGTCTGATAAGAGTTTTATTGAGTTACATTTATGTTAGTGTGTGTGTGTGGTTCACATGCAGAGGTTGGAGGACTTTTTAAAAAAGAGTTGGTTCTCTGATGCGCTCGGCCACTGCGCTCTCTCGGGCTTAGCGGAGGCGGCGGAGAATTTTAGATTTCTAACACACACACACACACACACGCCAAAATGTCAACAAAAATCACAGCGGGCAATTTTATCTCCTTTCCCCAAACATCTTACCTGTCCAGAATCTCTGAGATTTGCCAGTGGAAATTAACTAATATAAGTTTTGCAACTGAATGAGATACCTGTAAGAAACAAACAAACAAAAAACACAAATTTTAACTGTAGTTTTTCATAGAGCTCTATAGTTTGAGAAGTATATATCTACCAGTATCTCATATCCAAATTCTTTCTCCTAGTTACATGCTTTTTTAAGTTACATTTCTTGTACTAGTTATTTTACACATCTCTTGTTCTTGTTCTTTGTTTTCATTAATATTTACTACCAAAAAAAATTAGAAACTCTCACTGAAAACTGAACCAAAACCATCCTTTCTATAGTAATTAAAAATGTTGCTGGGTGGCAGTAGCCCATCCCTTTAATTCCATCCTTTGGGAGGCAGAGGCAGAGGCAGACGTACCTCTGTGGATTCCAGGCCAGCCTGATCTATATAGTTGAGTTCCAGGACAGTAAGCTATATATTAAGATCCTGTCTTGAAGAAAAAAAGTGATATCCAACATAAGCAAGAGAGCTTCCCAACTGGGTTCCCAAAATGTGACGCATATTCTCATATGCTTATGCTATCCTGAGGCCACACACAGAGTATGCTTCTAGTTAGGACTAGCAACACACCTCCTCCAGGCTTTGATTTCTTGCTTTATACTCCATAAACACAAAATAAAGACTTTAAGGTGAAATTAGCAATGGCACATAATTTTAATCTCAGCAGATGAATCTCTTGTGAGTTCAAGACCAACTGAGTCTACAAAGGCAAGTTTCTGGCCAGCCTGTGCTACAGTGAGACCCTGTCTCAAAATAAAAGCTGGGCATAGTGGTACACACTCTTGGGACTTAGAAGACAGAGGCAGGCAGGTCTCTGGTGTATAGACCGTATGTACTCAGGCTAGCCAAGGCTACATGTGAGACCTTGCCTCAAACAAACAAACAAACAAACAAACAAGTAAATAAGAGTTTTGTCATTGTTGTTGCTGCTTTGGTTTTCCAAGACAGGGCTTCTCTGTATAGTTAGACTTAGCTGTCCTAGAACTTGCACTATAGATGAGGCTGACCTCAAACTCAGAAATCCACCTGCCTCTGCCTCCCAAATTCTAAGACTAAAGGTGTGCACCATCATGCTGGGCTTAAAAATCAACTTTAAATCTCTGGATTCACAAAATGCAAAAAGCCCCCAACTGCTAAACATTTTACAACTGGTTTTACATAAAAGCTGACAAAAACCACCAATTCTACTGTGAACTCTTCTTCCAAGAGAGTAAGAGGATACATGCACTACTAAGTTATTTGTGAAAATAAGAACAGAAAAATATCTTATATGTTGCAATGGACAACAGTGTAGTTAGGAATAGTATAGCTACTGACACAGAAAAGGTTTTACTATGGTTTTTCTTTTGAGAGAGTGTCTTTTCTTCCTCAGGTCTGCCATTACAGATGCACATCACCTTGTATATGATAGGCAACCGACTGAGCTGTACTGCCTGCCCCAGAAGTTTACACTTCCAAAGTAGGTTAAAGAAGCAAGCAACAATATAGCATTTGCTTGTTAGGGAACATAATTATCTTATACTAAGTGGAAAGTAAACCAGCTGCAAAACATCATAAGTGTTAAGACAAGGGTGGGAGCCAAAAGGCTGGGATGGGTTTGGAGTCCTAGATCAGGCTTCCCAGAGGAAGCATAGTATTCAGATGTTATTGAAAACATGAAAGGCCAGTAGATACCTCAGGATACAGACATAACTGACCTGTAAGATAGTCCTACCTGGTTCACAGAGATAAACTCAGGAGGAAGACATAGTAACCAACATGGGATTCCCCAACTCTGGAGCTCAAGTCATCCCTGAGACTAAACAAGGCATATCCCAGAACAACATTATCTGAAGCCATTCAATTAATGAATGCCTTCCTGTCTCACAGGTCAATTGCATCTGGATAAAACCAAGGGTGCAGGCTAGCTGACTTCTCTTGGGGCAGGGGTTCCTACTATCTGTCCATGAAAGAAGGGCAGACTATACACATTGTTAAACAGTTTTCTTACTGGGGCCCATGGAGACTTTTGGCCAAGGTTCCTAAATCATGGATAGTAATGTCTTTTAACTATTACCATAGTTCATCTCAATAGACCATTAACAACAAAGTGAAGTGACATACCAGTTATTTTAAATTTTAGTAGCTGCATAAATACAGTTGTTAGGTACAAATTTTATTTCACATTTAGATAAGGTCTCACTACTTAGCCTTGTTTGGCTAAGAACCTACTATGCAAAACTAAGAGAGATCCACCCGTCTGCCTTTTGAGTATCGACATTAAGGATGTATGCCACCATGCAGGGTCACTCCCCCAACCCCTTACAGCATCTCACTACTTAGTGATGTAGCCCACGCTGGTTCCAACTTGTGATCTGTGGTGGTTTGAGAGAAAAAGGCCCCCAACCAGAGTGGCACTATTAGGGGGCATGGCTTTGTTGGAGGAAGTATGTGACTGCAAAGGCAGGCTTTTATGTGCAATCCACACCCAGTGTCTCAGACCACTTCCTGTTGCCTGTTGTCAAGATGTAAGGACTCTTAGCTCCTGCTCTAGCACCATGTCTGCCTGCAGCTGCCTTACTTCCCGACGTGAGGATAATGGACTACCTCTGTACTGTAAGCGAGTCACCTCAATGAAATGTTTTCCTATATAGAGTTGCCACAGTTATGGTGTCTACTCACAATAGAAACTTCAGTAAGACACCACCCTTTTGCCTTAGCCTACCATATGCTGGGGTATGGTGTGTCCTACCACACCTATTTACAAATGCTTGTGCTCTGATCCTCAGCTTTTGCCTCCTGAGTGCTGAGGACCAACGTGTGACTTTGCTCAACCACATCAACTGCTTTTCACCCTGACTTCTGTTTGATTTGTACTTAGAGATAACCTTGAACCCTCCTGTCTCCTGGGATCACAGGTATGGGCCACTAGATTCAGCTGTTCTGACTTCCAAGCATCTTCTTATAGAGCGGGCATGGGCCCAGCAAAGGCACTAAAATCACCACAGAAGACTTAGATGGAGTCTGTAAGCTAAAAAGAAAAAGGGGGTCAGTGCTGCCCTGCAAAATTACATAAAGCCTATACAACTGGATCAGGATTAGATACCTACTCAATAATGGTGATTAGTTAGTAATTTATGTGTGCTCATGTAAATGTGTATGCACATACTCAGGGGTCACATGACAAATTGAGGTATCAGTCCTGTCTCTGTCTAGCATCTTTTTTTAGACAAGGTCTTTGGTTGTTTGCATTTTAATACACCAGGCTAGCTTAAAAGCAATTGATTCTTCTGTCTCCACCTGTTTGATTGTGGGGTTATAGGTATGAGCTACCAAGTCTGGTTTTACATGGTTTTGGGATCTAAACTCAGATCCTCACACTTCTGTAGCAAATACCTTACCCACTGAACCCAACACCACATACTGATATTAATCTGCGGGTTTTCAAAAGAAATTTTGTGGGGGTTGAAGAGATGATGACTTAGAGGACAAGAGCACTGGCCGCTATTCCAGAAGTCCTGAATTCAATTCCCAGCAACCACATGGTGGGCCACAACCACCTATAATGAGATCTAGTGCCCTCTTCTGGCCTGCAGGCATAAAGAACATTGTATATATAATAAATAGATCTTACAAAAAAAGAGGAATTTTCCTTTTAAAAAAATGGAATTTAAGCCGGGCGTTGGTGGCGCACGCCTTTAATCCCAGCACTCGGGAGGCAGAGGCAGGCGGATCTCTGTGAGTTCGAGACCAGCCTGGACTACCAAGTGAGTTCCAGGACAGCCTCCAAAACCACAGAGAAACCCTGTCTCGAAAAACCAAAAAAAAAAAAAAAAAAATTTAAGGTACTTATTTGAACACTTTACTTAGTCTGATTCCTTGATTTCAACAACACTAATAGTCACGACAAAGCCTCAGAATTAACACAAGAGGAAGAGCTCACTTACACTAACAAGTGGCTCTGTTGACGCCAGAAATGTACTGATTAGAAGTCTGTGTATATCCCAGCAGTTGAGTTTTCGTAAGGAAAGATGACAAAGGACTGGAGAGATGTCTTTACAGTTAAAGAGCACTTGCTGCTCTTGCAGAGAACCTAGGTTCATTTTCCAGCACTCACTATGGTTGATAACTACCAATAACTTAAGTTTCAAGGGACCTGAACACTTCTGGTACCCATGGACTCCAGGCACACACATGGTGCACATCTATACATACAGACAAAACACATACACACATAAAATAATAAACCACTTGAAAAGAAAGAAAAAAGACAAGCATTTAAAAACCGACAGTGGCGGGGCACGGTGGCTCCTGTCTTTAATCCCACCACTGGGAAGGCAGAGGCAGGTGGATCTCTGTGAGTTCAAGACCAAGCCTGGTCTACCAAGCGAGTTCCAGGACAGGTTCCAAAATACAGAGGAACCCTGTCTCGAAAAACCAAAAAGAAAAGTGACTATGTTATATCCACAGTTTGCAGACACTATGAATCTGAAGGAATTCTGAAACCACTAATTCACGGAAAATATGGCAAGATTGGACCTTATCCAGTCAGCACATAAGGAGAAGCTGTATCAGTGGTTCTCAACCTTCCTAGCGCTTCGATCCTTTAATAGAGTTCACCATGTTGTGATGACCCAACCATAAAATTATTTCATTGCTACTTTATAAGTGCAGTTTTGCTACTGTTATAACTAATAATGCAAATATCTGTGTTTTCCTATGGTTGTATGCACCTCCTGTGAAAGGGTTGACTGAACCTCAAAGGGGTCACAAGCCACAGGTTGAGAACTGCTGATCTATAAGAAGCCAGATGTCAAAGAGCCCTCCAAGGAAAACACCACAGGGATGGAAGAGGACAAGTAGTGAGTAGTACTTTAGAAGAGAGCACCAGATCTTAGTCAGTACAGCAACCATGTGGTTGCTGGGAATTGAACTCAGGACCTCTGGAAGAACAGCCAGTGCTCTTAACCTCTGAGCCCACCAATGCTTTTTTTTTTGTTTTTCGAGACAGGGTTTCTCTTTGGCTTTGGAGGCTGTCCTGG